ACAGCAGAAAATGTTCTAGTTTTGTTTTACATTTGAATGGAATGAGGTTAAATATTGCATCCTTGAATATATATAACTAAGTTATTTGTTTTCAATTCATTGAAACATGGAAATACTTGATATTCAGTAAGATGAATGTATGTAGGATATGTATGGGTAAATATCTTATATTTTGTGTAATTTCTTACTTTATCTTAATATGCATTATGAAACCATGACTATTAGCAAGGTATTTTTCTGAATATCATCCATATTTAATCCCAATACTGGTCACCTTAATGCATAAGCCACTTAGTTTGAAAACTTCCCTTGAGCTACTAAAATATTAATAACCGGTGAAGTTCATCCATCTCGGGTGTTGGAAATGTTTCCTTTAATTTAATGGATAATGATCAAGGGAGACTGAAATTAAGTCTTTAGTAAAAGTAACACACTATGAAACAATTAATTCCTTTATATGTAAAAATTATATTTGAAATAACCTCAGCGATTGAAATTTGAATAATTTCAACGTTTCGTCCAGCTAACTTGTCTGAAATTCTTCAGGGTAATAATCAAAATCAAAATTAGTTCCTTTGATCAATTTTGATATACAGTGAGAAGACGAAGATAATCAGAACTATGTGATATATCTGAGCAATAACATATTGAACAACCTGATCACACATATACTTGTAAAGACATTCTTATATGAAAATTAAAAGGTCAACTAGACAGACTGAAGGTAAGTCGTGACAAAGAAAAATCAATTACACAAAAACTATATGATAACCTTTACTTACTTACTTTTACTTACGCCTGTTACCCCCAATGGAGCATAGGCCGCTGACCAGCATTCTCCAACCCACTCTGTCCTGGGCCTTCTTTTCTAATTCCATCCAATTCTTGTTCATTTTTCTCATGTCTATTTCCATTTCTCGGCGTAATGTGTTCTTTGGTCTTCCTCTTCTCCTCCTTTGACCTTCAGGATTCCATGTGAGGGCTTGTCTTGTTACGTAGTTCGGTGCTTTCCTCAATGTGTGTCCTATCCACTTCCAGCGCTTCTTCCTGATTTCTTCCTCCGCTGGGATCTGGTTTGTTCTCTCCCACAGTACGTTGTTGCTAATAGTGTCCGGCCAATGGATCTGAAGTATTTTGCGTAGACAATTGTTGATAAACACCTGTATTTTCTGGATGATGGCTTTTGTAGTTCTCCAGGTTCCTGACCCATGCAGTAGAACTGTGTTGACATTTGTATTGAAAATCCTGACCTTGGTGTTGGTTGACAGTTGCTTTAAGTTCCAGATGTTCCTCAGTTGTAAATATGCTGCTCTTGCTTTGCCGATCCTCGCCTTCACATCTGCATCAGATACACCCTGTTCATCAATGATGCTGCCCAAATACGTAAAGGTTTTTACATCTTCCAAATCTTCTCCGTCAATTGTGATTGGATTGGTGCATTCTGTGTTGTATCGGAGAATCCTGCTTTTCCCTTTGTGTATATTGAGACCTATTGCTGCTGAGGCTGCTGCTACACTGTTCGTCTTCTCCTGCATCCGTTGTTGCGTTTGGGATAGAAGGGCCATATCGTCTGCGAAGTCTAGATCATCCAACTGCATCTTAGATGTCCATTGTATCCCGCGCTTCCCTTCAGACGTTGACGTCTTCATGATCCAGTCGATCACCAGGAGAAAGAGAAAGGGTGAGAGTAAGCAACCTTGCCTAACACCGGTCTTACTAGGGTAGGTTGTTCAAAATGTATTGCATGAACATTATAAATCCTGAAATTTCTAAGTTCCATAGCTTGTTAAGTTTCAGCTGATCACGGCTATTATATCTCATGCTTCTTGGTTTCCAATGAATCCCTAACTACAGTTAATCGGTTATTGGTATTTCTTTAAAATTACTAAATATTCTTTATTTTCGCATTTAAATTAGTTTCATCAGAAAACAGCATTCAATTGGTGAATTAATTAAACCTCTACTGCTAAACACACAATTGAAAAAGGTCATAAGATTGATCTTAACTCGGCTTTTGTAGTGTTATACAAAAGTGTCAAAGGGCATATACATACTAAGTTTTATTGAAGCCTTTGCCATACGAAAATCCAAACCCTCTTTGTGTATTCAATAACAGTTTGTTCTCACCTTAAATCTACACTGGTAATATTTGTATATTATCCAGAGTGATGAAGTTTCAAATTATCTCCATATTATTTCTTTACTATCCTTGTGTCTTCTTACCCTCTATTTCTAGTCTAGTTAACCTTCTATTTTTATATATTAATGTTCTTAATAAGCATATAATGTGTGATTAGATTGTTCGAAATATATTGCACTAATATATATCGCATAGTTCTGTTAATCTTCGTCTTCCTGTTACATTATCCAAACTTATCAAAAGGAACCAATCTCTGAACGGAACTTTCAAAAAAGACAAAATAGTTGTTATCACATTTTAATAATAGAAAAATTATCTATCATTGTAATTCTTGAAATCACTACCAAGATCGATTCTTTCTTATGAATTTATAGAATATCATGACAACAGTTTTTTTCCGCAGATAAGATGAATTTATTATTGTTTTCCCTCAGATACATACAGATTTATGAAATTAATTAGATTGAAATTGGTCTAGCTTCAATTGACTCATGATCTCAACTAATGAAATTACTACAATCACCATAAAACCCCTTCAAATTGAAATATATTTAAACAAGATATATGGAAAGTAGAAAGATGAATTATATGTTAAAGAATAATAAATTCTTTGGAAGATAACATTGTACAAACATTTAATTGAGAAATTTCAATGGAGTTATTTTTAAGTAATTAAAGTGACCAGTTGTAGAATATTGAGTACACCTTGTTGTCCAATATGAAAGTGTAGAGGGATAATTATTCAAAGAGTGAAGATAAAATCAAAATTATATTTTCTTAAGTAAATTTGGTTGAAATTTACAAAGCATGTTGCTGAATTACTCTACCATTGTTAACAAAAAAATGAGTTGTTGCATGTCATCTTCAGTTCTATAAGCTGATTATTATGAACTTGAGAAAACAAAAATTGGGTCAAATTCCAAGGATCTTAAATCATAAAGAATAAACCGTCTTCCTAGCTTACTAGTGCACTACACAATGAAGACAAGATATAAGGTAGATATAATGTAGTGAAGGAGAACACAGGGGAGGACAACCGAATTATATTTAGCACAACATTACAGAGTTATTTGGTAAAACAGAAAAAGTATTCTATAATACCTAATTTGTAAAATGTTCAATGATTGTCTCGGACTTCATTGTTCTTGATTTTCTCCCATCTTCTGCTGCCTGACATTACATTCCTGACTCGCGTTATATATTACTTATGTCAATATAAGTAGCACGCGCCACAACAATATATACATTAAAAATTCTCATAAGTTATTGTCTAACTAAATCTTGACGATTGTATTCAAACAAAGTTCATTAGTTCATCATCAGCTGTTTTTCAAGTAATACCTGGATCTTTCATATAATTAATTCATTATGCATCAATATTACAAAATAAATGTTTATCCAAATAAAAATTTAGACAAATGATCGTTATTGAATGATTGCTATCGAAATACATATGTTGGCTATCCTCATATAATTCATCGACTTAAATCGCATGGGTGGTCTAGCTTCAATTGACTCATGATTTCAACGAGTGGAATTAAATAAGTCAAATACGAGTATGGATTTTTGAATACATATATTTTGTACACTCATTGATCTAGACAGGAAATGAGAGTGATGAAGCGAATAGAAGAGAGCAAAGTGAAATAACGCGCGGTGGAAAAGGCATGTGAGTTAATTCCATTTGACCAAGAGTAAATCATTATTTATAGCCAGATAAAAGTAGGTTACAGATATGCGATAAATAGGATAAGAAGTGTACACACATTTACGCTCATATAAAAGCAGTCAGGATTGATAAGTGAATAATTAACAAAGTCGAAACGTGACTCAAGAACAATGGATAAATTGACCTATCCAGAAGCTAGAATAAGTTATATAGGCTTAATATACTAACCGACACTACACTGTTAACACTAAAACGGGAAAGAATGTTGAAAGACTCATATAAACCTTTGTTGAAATACATTGATATGTGATTTATTTATATTTTATAGATACTTATCAACTAGTGAGTATTTACAAACTAAGGGTCTAGCATTGTTTGATTATAACCTCAACACTTTGGGTTTTATTCTGTTTAAACTTGAGTGTAATTGATATGGATAAATCTTAAATTACGACAGTATAACCATTTAGTATTTAATTATTTTCTGCCATTCTTCAACTAGTCTATGTTTTTAATATGAATCTATTTTAACATTAACTTATATTTAAATGAATGACTAATTTTGTGTGTTCCTAAGTCTATTATTTGTTTAATGTGGTTGGCGTTTTTTTAAGCAAGACTTTTTCTACGGAATGGGGTCTTCACACCTCATACCTAACCCTCCTCTTATACCTGTACTTTGGATTATTTGTAACTCTAGAAGAGCTACATGCAGATACTCAACATTCATTGGTCGGATACCATCAGCATCATCTTTCTGTAGGAGAGAATAAATCAGCTTCCATATGAAAAGGAAATAAGGAAAAAACATTGGAAGTGGATAAGATATATACATTACAGAAATCATCAAACTACATCACGAGACAAGTCCTAACTTGAAATCTTGAAGGGAAACGATAAAGAGAAAAGCCATCCAGAAAAATAAAAACATATATGAAAAGAATGGATAACAATTGGAAAGAATTATCCAGGACAGAGTTGTATAAAGAATACTGATGAGCGGTTTGTGCTTCTCGACGACGGTTAACAGGCCTAATTAAATAAGATGATTAAAATGTTTTTGATATAATAATTAAAGGTCATAGAGGTGTACAAAAATAAACTACTTATTACATATAAGTAACATATTTCATAAGTTTATAATAAAAATAATAAATAAATGAACAATTAAATTATTCAATAAATACTTACTCTCATTATGTATAGGATATGAACAATGATTTATTTGATCAATAATTAATTAATTATTTATTTAATATTCCATTAGAAATAAACATTTTTTCTCCTTTTTAATAAATCAATAAATCAATAATTGATTGATTAATTAATTAATTAATGAACTTTCACATGCTCTAAATGGCGAATCTTTTGAAATAGGCTAATTTATTAAAACAAAACAAACCAAAAAAATTGTTTTCATGTGTGTGTGTGTGTGCTCATAAACGAATGTGAGAATTTTTTGAAAACAAAGAAGGGAATATAAAGTCATACAATAAAAAGAGTACAGTAGTACGCCGATACTGATTACTGGTTTTATGTCATTTTATGATAGTTATTTGATTGGATACGTTCAATGTATCCATGTGTAGATATAGATGGGTAGACAGACAATATCGTAATTAAGTGTATAGATGAATAATAGTTAATATATAGATATATAGTTAAGTAAGTTGTTCACTAATCGGTTAAGTTTATTTTTAAACTAATCTATTGAAATGTTATGGTTGGTTATTAGATTGTTCCCTTGAATGAAATGAATCATTATTTGAAAAAGTAATCGGATATATTCATTATGCTATGAAGTAATTGTCATTTGTCATTTAGATTTGTTTTATGCAGTATATACAGTAAATTGGACGACTCTCCCGGTATCCTATATTGTACGAGCATTCCATGTCAGGAAGGGCATCAGTCTTGTGACTTCTGAAAGAGTATGGATTTCACCAAGGGATGTTATAACTCTTTTAATTGATGATCTAACTTCTAAGAGAGAATTTAAATGGTTTGAATTATTTTTTCTGGTTAGCAATTTTTTAGCGAGTTAGTTTTCTACGGGATGGGGTCGCTAACAATATGCTCAACCCTTCTCCTTTATCCAGGTTTTGGACCGGCAGTAACCCCAAGGGGGGTTCTAGGCGGAGTTTTTATATAGTATATGTTGGATATTTAATCCGCATTGTAACCAATTGATTTTTGTTATGCATGTGTAGTGAACAAGAACACCAGTGGGTAACAATCGAATGTATTTGACACAAAATTACAAGACTTATTAATAAAATTTAACAATCATAAAGTAAATGCCTAATTTGCCAAGTGTCCATCAATTGTGTCAAAATGACTCAGACTTCATTGTTCTTGCATTGTCATACAACTTGCGTCCTATTTCCATTCTTTACTGCTCGATCCTCTTGCCTCTCTGCTACCAGACATTCAGTTCACGACTAACATCATCTACTACTTATGTCAATATAAGCAGCACACACCACATATAGACTTAAATGTCTTTGTAAATGATATAAAACTACAAATTTACCCCAAATATTTTTGTTATCGTCAAAAAAGCGTTCCTAGAAAAGTTTTCTAAATTGATTATTACACTTTTATTAGTTGAGATAATGAGTCAGTTGAAGCTAGAACATCATGAAAAAACCTGGAATCACTAGACCGTTTCATCTTTTTGTGGGACTCCTCAACACTGCGTATTCAATTGACTCATGATCTCAACTAATGAAATTACTATAATATTCACAAAAACCGCTTTTGATATTACAGTTTCATCTTACAACAAATTTACTTTCAAAACTGAATATGAACTCGTTCGGCAGCTAATATGCTTCGAAATGCTTTAGTTTGTACAATTGGTTATATTTCATTCATGTTAACATAGAACTATGTCTACAGATTATCTTATGTCGATTTCGATGCTTTTTATATTGGTGAGTGGTCTCGTGAAATCTTGGCTCGAACCAAAAAAACACAAAGTACTACCTAATAATCCTGTGAAACTAGAAAAATGTAAAATGAAATAGGACTTACCAGTGCAGGCGATCTTCATTTATCCAAAATACCATATTTAATTCTATTCACATTTTACACCATTATTATAGATACAAATTCAATTCTATCATTTCACATTACATATATCACATATTTCACATCCATCTGCTGCCCAGATTTGTAAAGGTTTTTACATATTTGGGCAGCATCATTGATGAACACGGTGGATCTGATGCACATGTGAAGACGCAGATCGGAAAAACAAGAGCAGCATATCCACAACTGAAGAACATCTAGAACTCGAAACAATTGTCCACAAGCCAACACCGAGGTCATAGTTCTCAATACAAATGTCAACACAGTTCTACTGTATGTTGTGGAAACTTGGAGAACTATGAAAGCCATCATCCAGAAGATACAAGTGTTTATTCACAGTTGTCTAAGCAAAATACTTCGGATCCGTTGGCCGGACACTATTAGCAACAAGCTACTGTTGGAGGGAACAAACCAGATCCCAGCGGAGGAAGAAATTAATGAGAAGCACTGGAAGTGGATAGAACACATTGAGGAAAGCACCGAAATGCATCACAATGCAAGCCTTCACATGGAATCTTTAAGGTTGAAGGAGGAGTAGAGGAAGACGGAAGAACACATTACTTTGAGAAATGGAGACAGACATGAGAAAAATGAACAAAAATTGGATAGAACTGGAAAGGAATGCAGAGTGGGACAGAGTGTGTTGGAGAATGCTTGTCGACGTAACAGGCGTAAGTAAGTATGCAAGTAAGTGAGTATGTAAGTGATGTGTACACAGATATACAAAAATCATTTTAATCAGGGTGGTATGACACTGAATTCATCAGATCTGTTTGTTGATTATACTAAATATTTTGTTGTATTCAAACTTGTATTAAATTAATTTGTTTACTTATTGATTCTTTGAAGAAGTGGCTTACAGTGATTTGCAATACCTCAGCAATTTATATTTTTCTAATCATTGGAATGTTACTAATATGTCTTTTTTATTTAAATTATTTTATGTTAGTTTTATCAAACAAAGTCATTAGTACTTGAAGAATAAAAGTAGTCATTTGACTTAGATTGGTTTATGATTTCAATGGAATTCGATAATTTCAACGGCCCTTTACTGACAATTATCATCGACCCATCAGTGACTAGGTTTGAATGGGATTTTTCAGATTCTCAATGAGAAGCCGTCACCAGTGGTGCTAAACCGTGTCAGGTGTGAGGGAAGTACTCACCGAAGATTACGAATGATGGTCGCGGACTACCATGAACCGTGGCTCAGTGGTCTAGTGGTTAAGCGTTAGCATACGAGACCGAAGGTAATTGGGTTCGAGTCCCTCATGCGAGATCATGAGTATCCACTGCTGAGTGGTTCCATACTATACTGAAATGGCGGTTTGATGCTTCTAGGTTTTCAATGGTCGTCTGATTTGGATCAGTTGATGGCAATAATGAAACTCAATCATTTCGATAACTACATAATGACAAAAATAGTTGTATGATTTAACAGGCATAACCAGCTTGCACATAAAAAATGTGCATTAAAACTCTTGTAGCAACTCACGTGGAAATGAGTTTCTTCACATTTAATTCGGTTAAGTCATTTTGTTAACTTATTAACGAACTGAATCATCCGTACAACAACAACTTATCTATATCATTGTATCTCTATCATTGTTGTGAATGTATGAACATGTATACTTGAGCATTGCTTACTGCCTACGCATTTATCCACGCTGCTAGCCTTACTACCAACCCCTTAATTGATCCGTTGGTTCATTCATTTCACTATGTATACATATGTTTATGTTATTCATGTTCATTGCTCTCGCTCGCTTGAGAATACTCGCTTACTCGTACTCATATTCTCTGACTCACTCCCCCGCTCACTTGCCTGCTTGCCTTTCGGCACAACGCCTTCATGCTTGTTCAATGCACCTGTAATTTTGGATATCTGTGTGTGGTCCCATAATAAACATAATCAACACTTCGTATTTGCCTTCTGATAAACATACCGCTGGGATGTTATCTAGTGACGGTTATCACAATGAACTGTATACGAAGTTTAAGGATTATATGGAATACCGACCACTACACTTTCATGCATTCACTAGAATTAAATGATATACAAATATCTACGAATCATGTCTTGTCTATAATTACAGTCTGATATTTCATCATACGTGATGACGTTTGACAGTTTTGCTTCATAATGTATTTCCAAATTAAATTTGAAATGAATTACTCATATTCATATCATGATGCTGTAGAGATGATTAAATACGAATTAATTGAGAAATTGTTTTGCTAACATTTGTACTTTTCATAACTTCATCTAAATTATAAATGATCCCATTAGTAGTGTTGTGCGTGCTACTCATATTGATATAAGTAGTATATGACGCTAGTCAGGAATGTCTGGCAGCAGAAGATCGGGAAGATAAAGAAAGGAAGAGCGGGAATAAAAAGCAATTAGTATGAAAATGCAAGAACAATGAAGTTCGAGACAATTATCGAACATTTTGCAAATTAAGTATTATAGTATGGTTTTTCTATCTTACCATGTAACTCTGTAATTTTATTCTAATTATGGTTCGATTGTCCCCACTCGTGTTCTGTTCACTACAGTAGTCAAAAAACTACTTGTTTAAATTGTACTATAATTTTTTCCGGTGAAAATGAACATCATGCATTACGTATCGCTTATATAATACGTTTACTACCGTTAACTCTTCGTATCCTCTCTCAAATAGCTGCTAAACTTGTCAAGTCTTCAACATGTTTATAAGTATTAACCTGTATGAAATTCAATCTTAATTTTAGAATATTTCATCAGTTTTAGTTACATTGGAAATATCTTTTATAATCATTGTGGTGTTTGAATGAACTAATGATTCCTTTGTACTAGTTGAATGCTTGATTTCGAATTATAAATACAGTACCTTCGTTTGTGGTTATTTTGTACTTTTTGATCCGATTACGTTATTTCTGGGATTCTTAGTTCATACTATCATTCAAATACTTCTAATTATCACAATCATTTATACAGCTATACGAATAAGTTAAAATTGAGTACACATGAAAGTGAATTGGGACTTTTTTTCCACTTTTGCTCACCATCATTTCGAAATTCTTTCCATCATCTATTATGTCTTATTAAATGCTTTTTTGGCTCTGTTAATGAGGTAGTTTGATATATTCACTGTACCAAAATGTAAATTGATAAAGATATATTTTACATTCTGGTTCAAATTTCCGAAAAATGGTATAAGTTAGGCAGATTTTGTATGAGATAATAAAGGAGAAGTAATTGAACAACTCAAACAATGGTTATAGAACAGGTACTTAGATGACTTCAGAATCAGATAGTTCTCCAATTAACGTAAGAAAAAAAGCCATGTTCATCAGTAATAAAACAATCACTGAAACATACCATAGAACAAATATCAACACAGCTTTCGAAACGTTACATAAAAATTGTTAAGAACAAATACTTAGATTTATAGAAGCCTTATCTATTCACAAACTTAATTCTCTTTATGTGCGCAGAAACAATTTGTCGTAACTTTGAATTTACTCTGATAATCTTGA